TCGGCGCCACTTCCCCCAGTCCCAGTGTGCCGACAGGGACCAGAGACCCGGAGGAACCGGGTTGCCTGGGATTGAACAGGGAGCCGGGACTCGAATTCTGAGCTCCTGGCTGCAGCCCACCTCCCTGGTTAACTCAAGTCATGGGTAAAGGCACCCTCATCACACCCACAAGGCTTCCTTCCTCCAACAGCTCTGCCGCTGAGCCCCACCTGTGCAGGGATCTAGGGACTCCACCCACTTCCGTGATGCCTCCGCCCACTTCCACCTGCCGGGAATTAACTCAGGACAGGGAACCCGTAGGGCTGCCTCTCTCCAAACCTGATGGCCGGAGTTGCTCACAACTAAGACTTGGTGCTCATCCTGCAGGGGCTAGCAGGGCGGCAGCCGGAGGGTGATGCCCTCCCCCACTGCCCACATGTCTGTCTTCTTGAGCCTTGGCACAGGCCAGGTAGGGGCGTCTTACCAGGTGGGGGGCCCTGGGCCCGCACATAGCTGCGTAGGGTGATGTCTGCCGAGCCCCCTGACTCCAGTGGGATGGGGTGGGTGTGGAAGTGGCGAAGCATGTCCAGCACAGACTGGAACCACAGGTGCTGTACGTGACACTGCCCGTGGCCGTTCAAGGACAGGCGCAGGTGCTGTGGGCACAGATGGGCGTGGTCAGTGGGGGGGGGTCCTGTACTGGCTACCTGCTTGGCAAGTGCCTTTGAAGGTCACTGGGAGGACCAGGTCTCACAGAGGCCATTTGGGGCTGTGTCAGAGCCGGGGCGGGGGGGCGGCCCTTACACATGAGCCCTATCTAAGAGGGAGTCACACCTGTGGGGTGGGTATGGGGAATGGGGGCAACAGAGCCAGGCTGGGACTGAAGGGAGCACACATTTATCCCACATTATGCCCTTCACATCCCCATCTTTAGTCTCCAAAAGCCCTAGAAGGTAGAGGTTACAGCTGCCATAGTAGAGACAGGGAAACTGAGACATAGGGACACAGGGAGGGAGAGACTCACCCATGGTCACAGGGCACAGAGCTCGGAAGAGAACTCATGTTTGGGTGATTCTCCCACCCTAGCAGGCTAGGGTTCTGCCCACTGTCCCTGCACAGGCAAAGCCCAGAGGGGTGGAAACAGTGCCAGGCTGGCTGGGGAGGAGTGACTGCACATGCTACTCAACTGTGTGCAGTGGGAGCACCTGAAGCACAGAACAGGGCTCCTTGGGCTTAGGGCCCACATGGGCCAGGCACCTCAGGGAAAGAGAGGAGCCACAGGGCTGTGGTCTCTAGTGGTGAGCCACAGATCTCTGCCTTCAGCCCTCTTTTGCTCCATATGTATCCCACAAGAGGAAGAGTGACTGTCTCTGGGGTGTGTGTGGCAAGAGGGGTGGTGATAGGAGGGTTTCAGGGTGTGCACAGGAAGGGGAGCTGGCCTAGCCGCCTACATAAAGGACAGAGAAGCCCTGGGAGGGAGGGGAGTGTTCCGTGAGTGAGTTCTGCCACTCAGCAGGGTCAGAAGTTGCCAGAACAGTGTGGGCAAAGCCTGGACCACTCACGGCTGCCCAGGGCAGGGACTCGGACCGAGAGGAACAGCACAGAGAGATCCCACCACAGCCTCAAATCTGGGCAGATCCTTTGGGGACAGAGGCCCAGGGCAAAGCTGGGCCCCAGGGAGTGTGTGCATCTCAATCTCTGGGAAAATGTTCCAGACATGTATTATCTGAAACAAGTAACTGCCTTGGAAGGCTGAGGTCTTCCTTCCCATGAGGTGTGCAAGCAGGAGGCCACTCTATTTCACCACTAACTCCTCCAACTCTGCACAGGATTCTGGACAGACACCATGTTCTGAGAGGGCACTAGCTGGGATGAGTTCAAAGTCTAAGGCTGGGTCTTGTTCTTGGAAGGAGAGGAGCCTCCTGCTCTACTTTCCACACCACACATCCCCCCTGCCACCACCGTGCCCCGTGGTGGGCTGGGTACCATCCTAGTCTCTGGCTTGGGTGTGCATCAAATCCAGGCCCTCCGGGGAGGCTGCCTTGGGGCGGTGCTGGCCAAGAAGTAAACTCCAGGTCAGGCTGTCAGGGCTGGCATTAAGCGCTTGGTTGTCAGAGGAACTGGTAAGGGCAGCTGCTTTCCAAGGAGGTGTCCCTGGGGAGGTGTTGCCTTCTCCACAGTGGGGCCAACGCTGCCAAGGAGTGATGCCCAGGGAGCCCAGGGACGGCCTGGGTCGGGCCAGCCTGGGGTTGGGACACTGGCAACCAGAGCAGGCCTGAAACAGGGGTCCTGGGGTGCCCCCTCCTCCAGCAGGGACTGGCAGGAACCGTGTCCTGGGAGGAGCCGAGGCTGGGTCTGTTTCCTATCAGAACTCAGAATGGGGGAGGAGGGGTTTG